ACTCTCTGCTTTTTTGAAGACATGAGCATTGTTATGTGAGCCAGGCACTCCAGCATGTGATATGACTGGCAAAACGAGAAAGGAGTCAAAAGGACAAACGTGGCACCGGAAAAAAACGTCATTCGCTCGACTGGGAGGCAGGTCCTTTAACTTTGCTTCTGCTCTGTCCTCCTGATCCTGGCCAGCAAAATGTGAGTCTAGATGTGCCTATTCAAGGCAGCACGTTTGCAAAATGGAGCAAAAAAATGCAGAAATGGAACTACGGGAAGCATCTCACAAATGCGAAAGCACAATGTATAGGAATTGCATTTGGATGTGCGAAGAAAGTGGCCAAGAATACAATTTCCTTGCGAAAATGTTTGCGTTTTCCAGTGGCTCCTAAAATAATAATCGCACACACAGTGGGTGTCAAAAGTCGGAGCCACAGAATTTGCACTCGTGCTACACTAATTGTTAATTGCCATCAACAAAGCCGACTTCATTCGAGAGCAGGCCAAATACCACATAATCAGGTCAACAAGTCCGAGGAATTTCCCACAAGCACCCCCAAATTCTGTCCAAACACCACAGAATTAAGATTTCTCCAGTATCTTGCAATGGACCATCGAGTTGACCGGCCAAGCGTTATTTCAATTGTGCTCATTAGGCTCTGGATATGGTAATTAGGGCCGAACCAATGATTGGAATCCAAACCAAGGCATTAGGCCGGAATCCCTGGCCAAATTATCCCTGCTTCACTGGCAGCGCAAAGTCATTTACTAATTTTCATCATCGTTACTATCGTCATTGTTTGGCCTATTCAGTACATTGTTTGGCCGAGAAATGAAACTATAAATTGCATGCCAAGCTGCAAGCCAGGTACAAACGATTTGGCTGTATGTGCTTTGGCCAAAAGCGATTTCAAAGTGGTTCGACTTGAGCCTGTTTCTTTTTTAAGGAGAACATTAAAAGTAGTTCTTACCCATTTGTTGCAACTTAAAGATGTCCAAATATATAGTTTATTGCAAAGAAGTATCTGGGATTCTAGGCCTTGTTTTCTACATTGCAATCTTTTGAATGGGCTTACCAAAACCCCCTGTTGTTTAATAAACAAAATGCAACCTGCCTGTTTCCCCATTGGGCAGTGAAAAATGCGCAGATTTATATTGTTTTAGTCACTGTCAGCAGCAACCTGACAGGTCGGCCGACATTTCAGACATTCCAGATAAATACATACAGATAACTCGGAACTGCAGTTAGTAACTGTCCCCCCTTTGGCCCACCGGAAAGTCACATCCCATGGGATCCTAAGCCCACTGACAGCAGCACGTTATTGGCATTCAGTTGTGGGCAGATTTCATTTTCTTTCCTGCATCACTCGCTTGGCAGAGGAAGCTGAATTTCCCAGTACCTTCAGCTGTGGTGTGGAAAAATGACCGTAGACTGTCCTCGTTATCTATCACCTGTCCAGGCTGTCATCCTTGAAGCCCTCATCTCGGCCGGAGTCAAAACAATTTTACAGTAGTTACGGCTGTCTGTGGCCATTGTTTGGTCTTCGAGCCGGAGGAAAGTAATTGATGCCTGACTGAGTCTGAAAATATTTCACCGACTACGGAGAGATGACCATTTTTTATTGCCTTCAAGGCGTATCCATTATTGTTGGTCAAATGCGTGACTTGTAGTCTTTTGTCAGGTGACTTGAAAGCAAACCAGAATTGAGTAGAATTTTTAATCGGTTTCAAAATGAATAGACTACCAAAATGATAAACAAAATTGTTTAGTGTGCACAATGCACAATAACTATACAGTTCTTTTTCTAAGTGAATTCCAAAACAAATTGACTATTGCACCCAGCTAAAAGATGCACTTGAGCACATTTTTCCCAGTTTCCAAGGGACTTTTGCAGCTAGCCGCTCGTAAGGCATTGTGTGGGTGTTTACGCCATCTAAAGTAACCAGTTCCTAATGCATGCGAACCACACCGAAAACCATCCAAGCCGAACCGAGCCGCCTCACAAATCCTCAGTTTGGGCCGTCGAAAGGGGGTAATATTTACACGCCACACACGACTCCATTAAAACTAAACAAGAGCGTGGAAAGAAAGTGCTCAGTCCCTGGTCCTCAATCCTGGTACACAAAAAAATGTAAAAAATGGCAGAAGGGGCTTCATGGTGTTAGCCACGTTCCATAACCAACGGCCACATTTCTTCATGCTGCTGGCTCAACTCTGAAAAAGCTCACACTCCACTCCATGTGGATGTTTTGTAATTTTCTGTGCTCAAGCATACGGAGTATGTGAACACAAATCCGATAAACACACAAACCAAGGCAGCAGTTTGCTGGCGAGATAGGAGTGGGGATTTTCGTGGGTGAAAGATAGAGGACAGAGGGCAGGACATGCCACATTTTGCGGCAAGTCAAGCGCACATCTGCTGGCCAAAAGCGCTGACCAAACGAGGCTGCTACCAAACATTGTAAAATTTTAATGGGACTCATGGTGTGAATTGGACACCACCTACTGCCCCGCCACTCTAGTTTGCCCATAAAACTGCGTGGAAAAATGCACCCCTTTTTTCTTACAACTTTATTAAATTCCCTTCTATTAAAACGCAAGTGGTCCGACCCAAAAAAAGATGCCACACTTGTCGGCACTTGACCAGAAGTTAACCCAACCCGGAATGAGTTCCAGCTCAGGCTCTTCTAGTTGGGCCAAGTCCTCGTGGCGACTCCAAAATGAACGTATGAAATTTCACGGAAATGTAGCACAAGTTTTTCAAAAATAAACATTGCTAAATACATGGATAGTTAAATACTGCTCTTGTTTTCGTGATGGAACTCAACACTTTAAATGGCTTACAGAAAGTATTTGCGCTACTTGAATATGCAAATGATCTAACTGGCATAAATTAAAATGATTATCGAACAGATTTCCACGTGCTGAAAATGGCTGTGCACATCAATTTAAAAATATTTGTTCCGGCTGAATTTTGGGTCTGCTAAAAATAAGTAAACGTGGGTTCTCAAGGCCTGGAATTTTGCTCGCGCTGGTTTAGGCACTGGTCACTATAAATAAGAATAGCGAAACCTTATAGTCGAAACTCTAAATGCCCTGCAAATCGAATTTTCATGGCTGCTATTGCTCTGAATGTCCCTTTTTAAAGGGAAGTATGCAAACACACTTATTTGTTTTAGCCAGTAACAACTCTTTTTAAACCAATTTTGGTAAACAAAGTGAAAGGACTTCAGGATGAAGTAACCATTTACATTCGTTATTTTTTGGGAAGAGGAGCAACAAACCTTTTGGCACGCATCACTGGGATCTTTTCGGACAATTTGTATTGTGTTTGCGTGAATGTATTTATTTTTAGTTTTTGTTGGCCATGTCCTTGAGTCCTGGCTACGCTTGAGTGTCGTTTTCAATCAAGTGGACAAGTGGAACAGCTCAAGTAACTGTTTTGTTATTTTCCTGATTTTTAGTCGGCCCAGTTCGGTGGACAGGCAGCACTTGTTTTTCCCATTTCTACCAAGTATTTTGATAATCAACCCAAGTTGTTTGTTTTTTGCAGAACTAATGATGGCCTCATTCGACTGCGAGGAACCCAATAATGCCGAGAAGCTAATGTACGATTTAAACTAGTAGTCGTGTACCAAAGGATATGTGTAGACTTCACTAAATAATAGCGACTAAGAAAGCATTTATCGTTAGCCTAAGCAAATACTGTACATAAAAGTTAGGTAAATCACTTGGATATTTAGTGATAAGTAGATAACAATAAACCAATCAGCTGTAAAAACTATTCAACACATATAATACGTGTGTACATGGACTATCTGTAAAGTAATAAAGTATTTGAATATTTGGCAGATCTTTGTGTTGATTTTACAGCGAAAGTTCCACTAAAATCAATAAATTGATGACCAACTGCGAAAGGTAAACACAATTTTTAAGGCTAACCCAAAGGTAAACAAAAACATCCTTTATCAATTACACCTGTGCAAAAATATAATAAAAATGATCAGCTGCATAAACGTATATAAAATAAAATCAATAAACGGGAATATAATTAAACAAATACATGGGCCATTGTATAAAATAAGTGTATGCAAATAATCAGCTGCATAAACTAATATTAAATAAAATCAATAATGCGGAAACTGTTTAACAAATATATTTCATGACATATATAAATACGAGTTTGCCATTGTGTTTAATAAAAAACTCATTTGTTATTTATAAAAAAGTTATTTAGAAAAAGGTCTAAAACATATTTAAGAAATTAGAAAAAAATTGTAGCATTTGAACTATTATTTGGATTGCTTAAACCATGTGATAAAATGTTTTAAATTTAATACACCATTAAATTAAATACGCCGCATACCAAAATGAAGTTATAAACAATAATATGACGATCATACATTTATTTAAAAACACACATCCTTAAAATTAGACTTGCAGAACAAGTTGCAGCAATTAGGATGCTTGTGGGTGTTGATGTTGATGTCCAAACACTCCTGGCGGTTTCGTTTGGGCAATCTAAGCAAATCTGCAAGAAAATGTAAATGTAAATGGAATACAATTTCGTCAAGGATATGAGTGCCCAAACGTACTTAGCTTATTTTTCTTATCGCGAACGTTATTGATGTCATTAATTTCAGCTGGGCAGGTAAGCACCCAATTGCAGGGCTTATCCCATTCCGAGCAGGTGAAATCGCATACGCACTGATACTGAAGTTTTCCCTTGCACCGGGGATTCGAGTTCGTGACCACTGGGCACAGTTTTTGGGAGCACTGGGCACAAACCAGCTCGGTGGCAACAACAAGGAGCAGCAGGCTCAGCAGAATCTTGGCAACCATTTCGAAGACTTCTCAGATGAAGTGCCAAGAGTGCCGCACCTTTTATAGTCTATCCCAGCTTCAAGTGGGCTATTTTTAATTTGGCCTTTTTAGCAATTGTGTAAATATAGGTGGATATGTGGGTATAAAAGCAGGCTGCTCTTGGGTTGATCATTTGAGTGACCTGGTAACCAACATGACGGCCACACGAGTTCTGCTGATTTTGCAACTGCTAGCTTGCTTGATGACCCTAATATCGGGCTCCAACCTGAAGTCCTGCCATCCATTCATTGGCCTGAACAACTGCGTTGCTAGTGGCTACAAGGAGCCCAAGCTTCCGCCCCGGGACAATGCCTGCTGCGGACCCCATTGCGTCTACAAGGGTCCAAGTGTTTCATGTACCGGTCCCTGCAACAACAAAGCCGTGAATCGTTGCCTCCTGGACACACATTGTGGCGCAGGCCAGGCCTTCTCCTTCGTATGCATGTCAGATTGCGAGCTGGCTAAGAAAAATACCAATCGCCTGGCAGCTGGATATGCCCGTGAGTGTTTTTGATAATTTAGAACATTTGCTTGCTTAATTATATAACGTATTTTACTATTTGCTTAGGTCTTATTTCCTTCCCCATGGCCAAGAACAAGTGCCTGGCCATGAACACCAAATGCGGCATCAATTGTTGCTGTCGTGAGAATTGTCCTAATCGGTTTTGTAAATTTTAATGCCCTCAATAAAGATTTTTAAAAGTTAAATCTCTGCTATCGGTTCAAAAGAAAGCATCAAATTGGCGCTTAAATTCAAATAACACCCATGCAGTGTTGTTAAATGCGCGAAGTACAGTAATGTGTGCTCACAGTCGTTCACTCTCCATGCAATCGAGATTAGTTGCCGATTTGCCCAACTCAACCAACAGCAGTCGTGGCCGAGCGGTTAAGGCGTCTGACTAGAAATCAGATTCCCTCTGGGAGCGTAGGTTCGAATCCTACCGACTGCGATAGAGATACAATTATTTTTTGAATTTTTAATTATAAAAATATTACGCCGTATAGTTTGATCTCAATTCAAGTTTAAATAAATATTTATTATTAATTTCTTGTGCTATCTGCACAAGTTTCTCACTTTAACTGTTTCATATCTTTTTTTTTTCGGCACATTTGGCTAAAAATTCAGGAATTTGAATATCTCTCCTTTTTCATCTTTATTTAGTAACTCATAGACATACGTACATATGAATGCTGTTTATTTACAACTCGAGAATTCCTTCATACTGCACGTACACGAAACACCCTATTAACACTACTTGCAGTACATTGGTTATCGATAACCGATACGAAAACATTTGTTGTTAAGTATCTCAGTCTATAATTTCTAGAATAAGTAAACAAACACTAATATTATTGAGAAATGAAAGCGTAAGTAACTTTTTAGAATGGTTACGAATGGATAAGTTTCTAAAGTCCTTCCCCGCCATTTCAGTGCACTCAAAGACAGGTGCAGAGTCTGCCTGGAAGTCAGTGAACACATGGTAAACATTTTCGAGAAAAAAGAAGAATACATTTCAATAGCACACATGATCTCCGAATGCACCGGCTGTGATATTGAAGTAGGGGACAATCTCTCGGAGCTTATTTGCCCAACCTGTCTGGAGGACGCCCAGAGTGCATTCGATATTATTGGAACCTACGAGCGCAGCTACCGGATCTTCTGGGAGGCACAGGATGCGGTCCTTGAGGAGGATTTGCCAGACGGAGAGGTGTACACAATATCGGACAGCGAGAGTAGCACATCCCACGATACCGATGGGAAGCGAAAGTGCAATTACAAGGCAGCTAGCAGCATAAGCATCAATGTCGATGAAATCTATGAGATATCAGAAGATGAATGTGATCCAACCGTTGACACCAAAAATGAAGACTCTAGACAGCAACAGAATACAAAAGGATCCAAACAAAACAGCCCATCGGTCAAGGTAGTCAAGCATACTCCACGAACTGGAAGTACTGCATCAGAAGATCAGCTAATTGAGACTGGCACCGAAAAACTGGATTCCAACGACAGTAATTTTGTTGGCAGTGGTACTCGGACGGCCTACAAGTGTTCCCACTGCAGCAAGTCCTTTCCACATCGATCCATCTACGTGGCGCACAAGCGTATCCACACGGGAGAACGTCCATTCAAATGCCCCAGCTGCCCGCTGTCTTTCCGACTGAAAACCTTTCTGAAAAGGCACAGCATCCTACATTTGGGAGAACGATCTTTCACGTGCGAGATCTGCAGCAAGTCTTTTCCGGAAAAAACTAACCTGTACCACCACAAGAAGATACACTCCGACGATAAGCCCTTCGTGTGCTCCTCCTGTCCGATGGCCTTTCGGTTCAAGAGCCACCTAGATCGCCACACAATGAGGCACACGGGCGAACGACCGTTTAAGTGTGACTATTGCGGAAAGGACTTCCCGGTACGCGGTAGCCTTGAGAAGCACATAAGGATCCACACGGGAGAACGTCCTTTTGAATGCTCAATATGCCAATCGGGCTTCGCGGATTTATCGAACCTAACATCACACATGCGTATCCATTCGAATGAACGACCCTTCAAATGTGATTCCTGCGACAAGCGATTTCTGGATAAGTTTCGCCTGGCAAAACATAAAATGACCCACTCGATAGAACGACCCTTCAAGTGTACTGACTGCCTGTCCTGTTTTTCAACTGCAGCCTGCCTCTACCATCACAGATTTGTACACATGCCGAAAGGACCTTTTAAATGTGAGGATTGCGGTTCAGTCCTTAAGAATATGATTCTTTTTCGGAGGCATGCCAGGAGTCACGGCAAGGTGTTAGAACTGTAATATTGTAGTTTTCAACTCCTTCAAGAAAGTTTTCAAACTGATAACAGTTCGATAATACATATGTTGATGCGCCTAACAGCCCACTGTTACGGCAACAGGGTGCCTATGCCACCAGCAAAGTGAATGCAAAGCCGAAATGGTAAACAAACTATTGCCTCTAATAAATAAAATATCTAGTTAATACAACTAACTATAGTAAGTACGTTTGATCTATTTAATGGATTACCGCCTGAAACGTACGTTTCGTTCAAATTCAGGAAAATGGAGAACAAGTGCCGAGTTTGTCTGGCTGACTCCAAAAACTTGGTAAACATTTTCGAGGAGAGACAGGATCTTCGAATTTCAATAGCTCATATGATATCCAAATGCACCGGCTTTAAAGTTGAGAAAGGGGACTCATTCCCGCCCTCAATTTGCCCAGCTTGTCTGCAGGATGTCCACAGTGCGTTTGCGATCATAAAAACCTACGAACGCAGCTACCAGGTCTTCTGTGAAGTGCAGGACACGGTTCTCGAGGAGGACGAAATCATCGAGCTGTCGGACTCCGACGAGGTAGTATCCATCAAAGAAGGAGAGGAGGAAGGCCATTCAAGAAGAACTACGGCAGCCGCTGATGAAAAGGCGGCCCAGGAAGAAGTTAAAGGTGATCATTTTGAAGAAGTTGGCGGGCATAAGACTCACGTCTGCACACAGTGCCACCTGTCCTATGAGAGCCCTGACCTCCTAGAGCTCCACAGCCTGCGACACTACACGAGCGAAGGACCCAGTCCAAGGTCCTTAGCGGACAACAACGAACTGAAAATGCACACCAGCACGCACGCGGGCAAAAAAGTGATGAGGAAGAACGCCAGACAGCTCACAAGGACGCTTGCATACAAGTGTATCTACTGCTACAAGTCCTTTTCGAGCCCATCGAGCTGTCGCCGCCACTATAAGAGGCACACGGGGGAAAGACCCTACGCATGTGGTACTTGCCAGAAGCCATTTGCAGATGCTGCTTCCGTTAAAAGACATATGAGGATTCACACGGGCGAAAGACCCTACAAGTGCCCCACCTGCCAGTCGACCTTCACGGATTCATCTTCTTTTAGGCAACACAGTCGGATTCACACGGGAGAAAAGCCGTTCAAGTGCGATCTGTGCGAGAAGTTCTTCAGGGAGCGGTCGGATGCTCGGAAGCACAGGAGGAGCCACACTGGAGAAAAGCGATTCCAGTGCTCTTTATGCAAGAGGGCTTTTTGCCAAATCCATAGTCTACGTAGGCATTTGGAACTCAATCATGTGGACCAGGACAAGTCTCAGGCCTAATTTAGTTTAAAACTTAAAACAAAAGTTTGTTTTATTACTTTTAAAACGTTTTATACATAAGAATTCCATCCAAGGAATATTTCATAAACGAAATATTTCATATGCATACGAAAGCAAAAACAGAAATCTAACAAAAGTTTTCTTTATACATTAAGATAGAAAAAAACACAATTTTTAAAACATAAATGTTTCTTTAGAGAAAAAGAAAAAAAAGAAACTCAATTCATCGCAGTCGGTAGGATTCGAACCTACGCTCCCAGAGGGAATCTGATTTCTAGTCAGACGCCTTAACCGCTCGGCCACGACTGCTCTTGCAGCGAGTGAAGTCAAAACCAATGTTAGCTTAGATGTAGAGAAACTGTAAAATAAAGCCGATAACCAATTTAATGGAAAAATTTTAAAAGTGCGAAAATCAAAAATTTTAAATTTTCTTCCACTAATAAAGGGAATTTTTTTTTCCAACTGTTATTTATTTGTTTCAATAAACATTTATAAATACGTTTACAAATACATTTATAAATATTCCTCCATACTTCACCGCATTGGTAAACAATTCGAATTCGCGTATCCATCTGACTATCAACTTGGTAAAGTTCAGAAAAAGTATACAAAAATGAAGCCTACGTTGGGCAAACTTTCATTTGGTTTCTCTTTGATTTCCGTGAAATGCATCGTAGTACAAAATGAATAGTTTAAATCATATTCACACTTACAAAACGAGGTCTACACTAAGGCAATCTTCTTGCTATTTTATATGTTCGTGGTGCGGTCGAGGACTTATAATTTATAATTACTGTCATACATCGTATATTGTGTGCGGTGTCCAGTGTACATTTCACATATAAAAATTTACGTAATTAAAACCTGTTAGATCACAAAGGAAAATGCTAATAAATAGGAATTTGCTTAGACATAAGTACATGGATACATGTGGTCGCGTTTACTAACTAAGGTACAAGTTCAACTGATACATTGTATGTTTGGCTTTTCGAAAAGTCATTAAAAAGCATAAAAACCGTTGTCAAAAAACTGCAATTTCCGTTTTAAATGCACTTTGCAAAAGTATACATCAATTTATGTTTAACTGCTTGCGCGGCTGATAATTTTTACTTGCTGCACATCGATATCATAGGTTAGAACTATATGTATGGGGTCTTTCAGGCTCGGTCCCGAACCGAGGTTTCTTCAAAGATTCATAACCGACAGCGACAACTAATTTTGACACAAAAGCGTTAAATAGTTGTGTGTGCGTGTGATAATACCGACCAGGCCTAAGGGGCCATCTTGCCGACGTCCTGCATCATGACCAAAGATCCCACCATCGCCACTAACGTGCGGTCCAGCCAAGTCACAGGGTTCGGGTACAGGAATCCGCCCTCATAGAAGCCCAGATGACCGCCGTGGGCCACCTCCACATAAGCTGTGTTTTGGCGCGTGGCTGAGGGCAAAGATTGAATAAGCAACCTGATAGGGAATAGAGATTTAATTTACTTACTGGCATACTCCTTGATGGGATGCAGCAAGTCCTCTGGAATCAAGGGATCATCCTTGGCATTGATGAAGATCATGGGCTTCTTGATCGAGTCGAAGTAGAACAGCGACGAGCTCCACTTGTACAACTCCTGGGTGGAGGGGAAGTTGTACACTCGCCTCGTGTAGGCCTCATCCAATTCGGGCAGAGTGGCAGCCGCGATGATTTCGCGCTCGTTGAGATTATGCCGAGTCTTCACCTCGTCGGACAGGAGGACATGTCGATGTCGCAGGATAATGCTCTTCACATTCTCAGTCATGATGTATAGGTAAAAGCGACGGAAGTTTTGCCAGTTGAGCAACCACTTGGTGCCTCTGAAATAGAGATACTTAGTATTTAGCACAGATTTCCAATACAAACAGTTTGAGTAGTTTGAAGGCAACTCACTCGACGGCATTGTAGCCTTGGCATATGGATATGCCTCCAATGACGCTGTTGGGCTTTGTCTTCTGGTCCTCACCCATGTACTTGGTGACCAAATTGCCGCCCAGACTGAAACCAACCGCAACGATTCGACTTTGGCGGTACTTCTGGTGCAAATGCTCCACCATGGCCGCGAAATCCTCCGTGTGGCCGTAGGTAAAAATGCGTGTGGAGGTCACCTGGACACTGCGCAGTGCGCCAATGTGATTTAGCACCGCACAGCGGTATCCATTGCACTGGGCCAAGTGCACGAACGTGCGAATGTAGACCGATTCCGAGCTGTTGGCGATGCCCGGACAAATGGCCACCGTGATGTCATCTGTTGGGAGTGTTGGGAACGTTTAATACTGGCAATGCATCAGGATTAAGCTGCCAAACTCACCCTCCTGTTCGTTGAGTGGCTGGTACAAGTCATAGGTCAATGTGGAACCATCTTGCAGCGACATGTAAACGCGTTCTCCGAGTGGCCAGGGACACCGCACTCGGCCCACAATGCTGTGCAAAACTGTCTGGACATGGCCACTGAAGCCCCAAAGTCTCGGGGGAATGTATCTGAAAAGTGTGGAAAGAGACGTGTATTAAACGTATATTCCCCTTAATCAGCAAATATCGTATGGGTCAAAATCCTACTATAAATGCTGATACTGCTATTTGTACGTATGTACGTAGATACATTTTATTTTATTCTGAACTTGTTTGCCCTTGACATTGCATTTTGAATTATGGCAATGATAAATCTGCACACAATTGCTTCCAGTTTAGTTAGCAGGCAATTTGCCAAATTTGAGCAAATATAATTCATACAAATTGAATTTTGATCTGCGTCCAAGTTTTTCAATGCGATGACTTACAAATTCGAAAGAGAATGCCACTAAATGCACAAAGCCGCAATTCAGCAAACCGCATTAGAACCAATTGAACCTAATTGAGTACACGCAGCAACACCAGAATCAGATGGAGAAAGTCGGATGTTCGCTACTAAAGGTACTCTCACTCAATTGAATAGTATATTTTACCCATTTAGAACTAACAGAGTATAGAGTAGTTATACCAAAGTATACAAAGTTACTTCATTAAGTTCATTTAAGCTCTGAGCAAAGCATTTTTCCCTGCGTGTATCAAGAATCATGTCAGCCGTGCAAAAACGTGATACAATTTTGTGTATCCATTTGTGAGCTCAGCAACAGTAGCCTTTCAATTAGTATCAATCAAAGTAAAATGGTGAAAAGTTTGTGGGCAGGGGCGTGGCCGCTTTGGGAACTGGCACAAATGTCGGCGTATCTGCCTCTTCAATTTTTAATCAGTTTCAAGCATGAATTTCCGAACAGTAATCAATAAGACACCGTGTGTTTAATGAATAATACCAGGGCATATGTACATATAGAAATGTGTTGTAGAGTTAATGTGTCGTTAAGGGTTCGCCAGCCTAAAAGCAGAAACAGCTGCAATTCTTTCCCACCTTTAAATTTAAATTGTCAGCTAAAAGCGAGTGACAAACGGTGCTAATGAGTCATTCTAGGTTTCTTTCAATGCCGCACCCCTCAAATAATCTCCTTCAGGGAATGTAGAAGCCTCTCGACCATCTAGCCACCTGATCTTCACCCAACATGAGCTAACATAGTTAGTAGTTGTGTATACTAGTATTCTTATATCATAATGGCAATATAATCCCACTGTTATGAGCCTATTTGGGAAAACGCTACGTAATTATTTACTTAACTTAAAGAACCTATTTTACGATATGTGGAGAAGCAACGACACGTAATAAAACTTTTGAATATACAAATGCGAGTATATAAGGTCATGCCACTTTCTGGGCATAGAAAACATGAAAATAAAATCCGAAAAACTTAATTACACTAGAAAACGGGGTCTATTGTTCGAATTTCTAAGCCATAACATCGCTTGCCGTGGGTAGAACAAATGCGCAGCAAGGTGACGGAAATTAATAGGCACTCGAGCATTTTAGCCGAGTAAATCTCACCTTTCAACCGGTTTGTCAGAAAACCGCAGAGAAAACGCAGGTGAGAGGAGAAGAAAGCTGCGGTGTGGTCGAGAGAACTCTGCTTACGCAATCTTTGTTGTCAAACAAAAGCGGCAGCCGACTGGGCAAAAAGCCAAAACAAAAAGCGAAAACATTCACAGGTAGTGCCGGCATTTGAATCAGCAAACCCAAAGTGCCAAAAGGAAACTGCGCCAACAATTCGCCGGCAATCTTTTCATTATCAACCTACATTTCCATACAGAAACGTATATATAAACATATATAGCTTGAGGAAACCCCACGCGATTATTGAATGACGGGGAAATTTGTGGCCAAAATCGGGTTGCTAGGCGTTAGTCGCCGTCTTAACTGCGTAATTGTGGGGAGAACTTTGAGCTACATATATTGTTATTAATCCTTATCGCGCCTTCTGGCAAGCAGACATGTGGAAAAAGTAAATTAAAAACGAAAGAAGAATTCCATTTAATTATGCGGTTTCTGGGTTTCGAAAGAGAAACGCCTAGGGCTTTCAAGACTTGCACAAAATATTGCAAATCGAATGAAAATTTTCCAGGCGTCCACCCACAGCCAACGAAAAATGTTTGTCAAGGAAACTACAAAAGTTCATGAATATGTTTGACATTAAACTTAATTTCCGTATCATTAAACTGGTGATAACCTTCGCTAAACTGGCAAAATACAAATCCTAATTTAAAACAATTTCTATGCCCGATAACCTATTGAAATATTTTTAGCCTATGACCGCAAAAGTACACATATTATGAGTAAGGGGTCTTACTTCACCGATAACGAAGCCACAGTGGGGAACGAATGCACTTTATTTTATAGAGGGGTACGTATACTGAACACATGTGTCGCACAAACCATATCAGCCAATAAGATAGGGGTAGAATTGCATTTAATCAATGGGTTCGCAGATAGTAAGTGCAAATGCTGATGAGTTTCTGAATTATTTAGACAGCGACATCATGATTATTGACTAATTTGCCATTCATGATTCATTCGGCAGCTGGGAATCCGACGGACTGCGTGAAACAATACCTATTATTTTGCACATGCTGCTTAATTGGTGGTTTTAAGTAATTTGAGGTGATGGCGGACTTGCTTATCAGCGAAACAGACTAACTAATATTTTGGCGCGACTGTGATGCTGATGGCATGGGTAATTATCTTCTCAGAACTTAAATAACCTCCCTGAAAAATGAGTAGTTCTATGATGGAAATAGAATCCTATTGCTCACTATATTCATATAGCACTGATATGATGAAGATATATATGTGCTATCGTATCGATTACGATGGAAGTAATCCTACAAGAAGCGAAGGCTGCCATCATTTTGGCCACACCTGTGACCCTGGATGAGTTACATATGAACGGGGTGAAAAGAGCAAGGGATGATTTGCACACGATTTCGCCCCGCTTTTTTACGGATTACTTACGGTTCCCGCAGGACGGGCGCGATCTTGTAGAGGCAGTCCAGGAACTGGGCGTCCAGGCACCAAACACTGGGCTTCAGCGGCTGGCTGTGGACATTGAGGATGCGGAACAGGATGCACACGATGACGGCGATGAGGGTGAGGAAGGCGGTGGACATGGTGGCGCTGGGTGCTCCGAGTTTCTAGCCAGGATCCGAGGAAGTGGCCCGCCTTTTCATCCAATCGAACACCACTTATCCTGCGATTTTGCGCACCTCCTTGCGGCTTGTCTTGGTGTTTTTCAGGGTAATACGCGTTGCTTGTTTCCTTTCTCTGCGCGTTTGCTAGTTATTTGGCCGGCGAAAATATGTTAACACTTTCCACGCAAACCGGATTTAAATGCTGCTCGAAATTTCTGAAAATTCGCCTGCTACGAATTTTTTCAACTGATAGATGTGGTGTTACCGCAGGCGGGGCTATTCGAAAATACCGACTGCGTGGGCGGCGCTGGCGAACTATCGGTTGCATATTTTCAGTATTTTTAGCTTGGGCGCCAAAATGAAAGCGTTTAAAATTATACATTAATCATAATAATGTTGCGTGGGGTTTTTAAATGAATAAAAACATAATTGAATTGAAATGCATTTACAGCTTTACGCAGTGCAGACAATAAGCCGTGGTATTTTGTGCGTATCGTGTAGCTATACCCGTAAACTACCATCTCTAGCCACCAATAACAAAAAAAGAAGCATAATATTATTAAACAAAAAATGCGAAAAATAAAAAGCTTTCTTTATTATAAATGGTTGTTACGAAATGTATAACAAAATATATGCTGCCTGACTGATTTTAAGGACGCTTTTTTGTAAATATTTGTAGCCTCAACTTAATATTTTATGGCTTTAATTTGCTGACAAATGTAATGTTGATAAAGTAAATCCTAATGTTTTTTCTTAAATGAAATATACAGTGAATAAATAAACGTAACTGATATAAAATGTGATGAGGTGCTAGGGAACAGATATTATAACGAATTCCAAGTTTTAAATACAACACAATTAATTGGAAAGCTATTGGCGAAGCTTCGAAGGAGGTATCTTAATCTCAGCCTTGTAGGTAATCCATCAGGAAAGGCTTATCATCTGGAGCGTAGGGCGTCAATGGAACGTCGTATGGTAGTGGAAAAGCAGGCACGCCGTCGCGATTGTTGCCCAAGGGAAAGGTGTCCTCGCCAGTCTGAAAATCAAGGAGCACCAGTTACAACGAACATAGATTAAACAAGCTCTCAAAACTTACCACGAATCTAGGTAGGAATAGGACGCCAACCTCGTAGTTGGCGATTCTCAGGCAGGGCTGGATATTCGAGTTCTTGTTGAAGCAGCCCCAGGCTGCCTTCGACAGATTGGCGGAGGTTAAAACGAACCAATACACCGACTGGTCCTCCAGATTGAAGCGCGTATAGCTCTTGATGTGCGGCATTGCGCGCGAGCGATAGCGATCGCTGGACTTCCACTGCTGCAGGTAGTCCTTGAGCCACGGCTGCTTATCGTTGGTGTTCTTGCCGTAGGGCAGGCACCCGCCGCCCAGCATGCCATCATGACTGCCCGACACGTTACCGAAACTGGGATAAATCATCTTGAAGGGCGGCATCTGGCGCAGTTTGCCCACAGGCGTGGAATCCTTCTTCAGACTATTGACGAAGTCCTGCTGAATCCAGGCTTGCACGCTGACTCCCAGGCTGCCGATGCTCGAGCTTTGGCAGACGACGGGTATACGATCGTCGATGGGCGCCGCGTGCTTGGAGAGCAAGGAGCCCAAGCGAGCGTGACCCCACGGATGACCACGCACGCTGCTCTCCCGATGACCGCCGGGCACAGAGCCCAAAAAGAAAACGCTGTGGAGGGAAACAATTGAGAGGTTTACGCTACAATGCTTGCTTGTGTCCTACTTGATGGCACTGAAGTCACTCTTTCGGATCCTTGCTATCCAAGGCTGCAACTGCGTTATTTTGTACTCCACCAGGTACAGCATAAGATCCTGTTTGAAGCCCGTCAGACTTTCGCCAGCGCCCGTATCCGCATCCTCCGGCAAAGCAGGCAGCTTGGGACTTATCCACAAGCCCTGCGTGCGGTTGTGCCAGTCGTCCTCGTACAGATTCGCCGTGGAGATGACCACCCGCATGGAGCCATCGCTGTAGCCCAGGAACATCATCTTGGTGTGCGAGGTGGCAAAGGGCGTGGGCATTCTGACACGAATGGCCGTGACCTGCGGCTTGAACTTGCCGATGCTAAGCAGCTCCGGAGACTCGTCGCCGTAGAGTACCAAAAGTGGTTTGTCCCTGCAAGTTGAGCGTTTGCATTACCACGATGAGTAGATATTAATCAGATATTACTTACAGTATCCCGGCAAAATAGTAGTGTCCCAGGAGCCAGCCAATGTCCACCATAAAGTTGATCTGAACGGTGCTCTCAATCTCGCCCAGACTCTCGTCCAGGATTTCCTGGAGCGTTATGCTCAATGGTTCCGAGTGAGTGGACTTGGAGTCCGTAATCGCCGTGAGGAACATGTTATATGGAGCGGCTCGCTCCAGCTTTTTGGCCATCCCTCCCTTTTCGATTACCACGGGAATATAGTCCTTGATGTTTTTGGCGTTCAGCTTCTGTTTTTTGGCGAGGTTTGAGGTGTCTTGCGAAGCAGCTGGCCTGGAACTTGTGGATCCACTGGGCTTGGTATCTAAGGACCCTGAACTCGCAGATCCACTGGCAATCGGAGCATTTACTGGTGGTTTTGAGCCCGAGGACTGGGCTTCCTTCTCCTTCTTGACCGCCTTTTTGGGAAACAGTTTCTCCAGCAACTTCAACTGGGTGTGGATCATCTCGCTGGAGTACTTCGCTGGTATCTCGTAGTCCCCCGATCCATTTCCCTTCTCATAGATGGCATCCACTGTATAAAAGCCAAATATAATATGGGGATCCATTTTATTGGAATTTACTTACGGTGGGCATGGGAGAACTCGCCGAAATGAATGGGATTCTTTCTGTAGCACTTTTCGCCATAAGGACACTCCTTCATGTTGCTTAATATTTACTACTTGATAACAATAACAACAAAACAATTAACACAAATAGAATTTCGCAAATGGTGTGCCAAAAAAAAACAAAGCGCGCTCAGCTGGCGATGGCAATTAATCGATTGCAAAAATACCGTTGGCTAAATAAGAAATTTCAAAATGTTGCATGACTTACTTTAGTTTAAATTATATATTATAGAAGTGAATATGATAAATATAGAAAAATTCCGTACATTACGATTCACATACTTACTTTAATAATAACATCGATGGTTTACAATATATTTAGTTTAAAATGAAGCCTGTCTCTAATATTTATACTATCTAATTTATGTTAATTAAAACCAATTTTTAATTCATATTGGAATTCCTTGGCGATATTTTCCGGCAAAGCGATAGTCACAATAGCGCACCTCTACCTTTGGTAGATCGAATGGAAGTTAGTATATTTCGACAGTAATGGTCACACTGTTTTTAATGTGTGTTGTGTGTGTTGCATTTCGTGATAAACAATTTTGAAAAACAATTTACGCACATTTGCGGGGCGAAGAACCAAACAAAATGTCGAAATAAACGAGCAGCAAGTGCTTAAATCCACGCGTGAGTAGCTTCCAGCCCGTTTTCACCGATTTTTCCCACAGGAAAATCGGTTTTTAAGTGCAATTACGTTCGGGTGAAAGAGAAGAAAAAAATGTTTGCCTGTATTTGTGCTATGATGCTGCTTCTTCTTTATCATAGCTGCGACCGCCACACATTTGTTGTTGTTGTTCTTTTAGTTGTTATTATTGTTGTTGTATTGGGGGCAAAAACAGAATTGGCTTTGTAGTTGTTTTTCTTTGCAGGGACGATCACCGTTGATTTCTTCCTATAAGAATATGCTGCAATATGTGTGTGCATGTGTGCGCGTTGTGTATTGTGTATGTATAAGTGCGTGCGCGCCATTAATTCAACCAAAAACAGAAAAAGAAAAAACAAAAAACAACGAAGAAAAAGTAGCATCACTTATAAATACACACAATAAAATTAAATTTTTATTATGTTTTGAAAATACTTGAAATTCTTGTCTGAACATTTCCCTTCCAATTCCACTTGAGCCTCTGCCGCTGCCTCGGTCGGCGTCGCTGCCGCCAACACAGGTGCGGAATTTCTAAATATTAGTATATGTACATTTCAAGTGCACCAAAACAAAAACCAATAGAAATGCGTTGCACATTTGGGTGAATAATCGAATTAGAAAGGGAACTTTGCTCTCTCCTCTCACCTTTATGACTCAGCTTTTGGGCTTCATATTGATAAGTTCGCTCTCCACTCTCTGGCTTTCAAACGGTAAATAATAAACAGCGTCGCGGCGCTCGAATCTTATCAGAAACGTTGCAGCCAGTGATGCCAAGCTCCAATTGGAGGTAAAGGGGGTGGACCAAAATTTGAAATTTGATGTTTTGTATATACTTGGCTTAGGTAGTCCTAGGGTATGAATATTTCAGTACCTTATTTAGTGGCAACAAACTAGAAACCTTATTATTATTTATTTGCTTTGTGTGCTTTAAGTGTGCTTATCTATGTTACGCCGCGTTGGATGCGCTTTTATTCGTTATCAGCGGGGAAGGAAAATGAGCGGGAACCGTGTGCAATGGAATTGGAATTGCAGTTGCAGTCGAAATAGCTACCGCAACAGCAGTTCTTTTCAGAAATAACAGCCAAAAACAGCATATTTCACTTTCATCAGTTAGCAATAAAACTAGATTATTGCAGAGAAACTAAAAATCATAAATCATTAACAGAGGTATTTGAGTTTTCTATTCATCATTAGAAATATTCGAATTACCTTCAAGATATCAATCTTGTGGGTGGAAAGCCAAGCGCACATCACTGCACTTGCAGCCAATCTAAAGCTGTTCCTTTGTAGAATGCAACTGAAGCGAATCGCGACACAAGACGGGAATACTTGCAATGTGGTGCACTCAATTCCACTTGGCGAACCGCTCGACGTGTGGGTGGGTGGGTTTGATTTTTCTAGTGGTTCCGATCTATGTTCTCTTGGCTTTTCTTATATTCTATTTCTGCGGTTTGGTTCGCTGATTTAAGACAGTGAGCACTGGCCTAAGATGGATGCTAGTGTTCAAGGGTTTCGTCAAAAAACCTTTCGTTTATAGTTAAAAATAATACTTCTATATATAGAATAACCCTTACAAAACCTTACGAGGCATAATATTCTGTGAACAGATGATGGTTAAAGTTAGACTTGACCAACTGTAGATTATCAAACTTCAAACTTTTTCAAAAGGTGAATCACTTTTAAAAATTTCCGACCAATCTGATTTGTGACTTGCATTCGTTATCGGCTGTGTGGTTTTCCAATCCCATTTTAGTTGTCGTGTTAATTCCCGGGGCAAGACCACAAATCATTTTGCGAAACGCCGCAAGAAGTTCTCAATAAGACTTATCGTTGGTCTGAAGTAACGCCCCCGATCTAAAGTTTCTGGCACCCACACAGGACACTTGGGTTTGCCTTATGTTTAAAATGCTTTTCTAATGTATGTTGCATATTGTTTAGCTAGAAATTTGCCTTCAACTTATCGTCCCTCTCTTTGATTGGCAATGCAAATTTGCCAGGCCGAAAATTAAGTGCGCAAAGTCAATATTTCAATTTGGGCATAAACCAACAGTGGGAAAAATAACCAAAATGCATATGGGCAATTTGCATACGACGGTGGTTGCTTGCTTGGTTGGTTAGTCAAAGTAACTGGTGATTTGGTGGTTTATGTGGCTCAGCAAAGCCTACGCACCACAAAAAGTTGCAAATGCAGTCGCAAACTCAACGGCGGCCTCTTGAATTGAGCTTCGAACCGCTGCGTTTTGCTTGCCACATAATTATGTTATTAATTGGATTTATGCGCAGTTTGTGCAACAAGCAACATGCAAATTTCGTGTCAGTAACTCGGCAAAATTAATAAAAACCTAAATCAAATGTGATCAAGACATTACCACCAGTTCCCATTCCCCTCTGAATTATGGCACAAAACTGCAGGGTATAATTTAATATTTATTATTAGATAATAGCCTAGTTCATTCGTTATCAAATTAAAACTCCTGCTTCTCTCAGCATAATTTACGTCATTTTATTTATAATTTTCGATAGTTATGTGCCTTATACTTTGAGCTTATATCCACCAAACTTACTGCATTAATCTGGCTATGGCTTATCGCAGGAAACTAATTTTAGATCTATCGAAAGCGTGATTTACGCTTTTCGGTTTCGTATTCATTTTTTGCCAACCAGTGTCAGTGGGCGGCCCCTCTTGTTATTTTTTTATATCCATATAAATGTGTTTTGCCCCCCATCCGCCTGGTCCTCCTGCTTTTGATCTTCTTGTCGCGATAATCCGTTCGCGCAATGGTAATAAAACGCCAAACAAAACTCAGCAAAGCCCAGCGACAAAAAAGCAACCTAAAAATTGTCAACACGAATTTGAACTTATTTTTAGACCCCGTCGCAATAGGATTTTCTCTTTTGATTGTCATAATGCCGGCAACAACTTTATTAAGAAGTACTCGAAAGCAGATTCTTATCAATGGCTTGGTGGCTTTGGCTTCAAAAACTCGCAGCATTGGCTTTTAAATTAAAGATCAAAAGTGGCTGCCTTGAGCGCAGATCCGCAGTGTTAAATACTCTTTCCCATAAAGAAATAAATAATTTTAGAAATGGAAATATACAATTTATGGGAAAGTGAAGTCTAAGGTCTACAAATGCGAATTACAAAGGTTCTCCTATGGATCTTACCATAACATAGAGCTAATTATATTAATAAATAACATTGTAGACCCTTGAACACTTCCTAAAAATATAAATTCCCCGCCTGACTGGCTCGTAACCCGTTCAAGTGCCACATTGAGGGCGCGAAATTGAGGCAAATGGCAGCTAAAAGAGACAAACTGCGCCAAAACTTATGAAAACGCAACTTTAAACTGCAATAAAGTGGGAAATTGCAGCGCATAAATCTCTGTCGCCGAACTGTCATGGCAATAGTTATGGTTTGGGGGCCGAGATGGGGCTGGAAAGGCGGCGAAGTCATGCAACAGGCGGTGGAGCCAACACCCACGCAAAGCGAGCTCGTCTTGAATGAAATTAGCCCGTAACTAGCGTTTACAGTTTGGCAGCTACTGGCGATCGTTGTTGGCCAGCTTGCATACCAAGTGCCCGTGGTCTTAGCCACACACAGTGAACTGGCCGAGACTGATTCCATATTCCGGCGCTGTTCTCGATCGGCGCTTCATTGCCCATATAATGCTAATAATTATTGCATTTAAAATCTAATAAATTTGTGCATTGACAACGCGGAGTTTGCTGGCCATGGGCAGAACCACCATTCCCAGCCGCTCCTATTTTAATGGTGTAGATATCCATCAAAGGCTGGTTAAGTGGCGGGAAAGTTGCCTTGCAACTAGTTGGATACTCATTTATGTTTAGGATGTCTTCATATTCATTTTAGCAGATCAATAGCAGTAGAGGTGATAGCAACATTAGGTTTGAAGTCAGTAGACTCGGTGATCATCCACGTCTTGTATCTTGTTGAATCCCCACCAGCTTTTTTGGTGTGTTTTGCGATCCCCGCTGGCGATCGTCTCTAGTGGATCGCCGTCGAGCTTTTGACCATAATGGTGGTACTTGTCATTGTTTGTGTCGCACTGCCAACATTTAAGTACAGACTGCCCCGTGCGTGTTAAATACATGTAACTAGCCATGTTTGTGCCATTTAATCCACTCGATTGTGGACTTCTCCGCCCCAAAGTCCCTGGTTTTTTGTTGCCCCTTGCTCAGAAGCCGCTTGGTCGCGCGGCGACGCTTTTCTAAGAATTCTTTTACGTTTTGTTTTGGCGCACGCATTAGGCGCCACACTGAAGCAGCACGTTTAACCCGCAGGACAGGCGGAAGGGTTAAGAGTCCCGGGTAGAAGGGGCGTGGACTGGGGGCCGAGGAGCAGGGGAGCCATCTCGGAAACTGTGGCGCATACTCCACATATTTATGGCTATTTAAGCGAACCGAACGAATCGTGGATGCCGATGACGATGACGAACTTGCTGCTGCTGCAGTTGCTCCGCTGCACGTTGCACTTTAGGACCTTCTCTCCTCCACAGACGAGCTCAACAGAATAGGGATGAGAGGTTTTCAAAAAGAGTTCTTATTACATATCATATTTCCTAATAGTTTCTGTTGCACATTCATTTAAGTTGAAATACAACATGTAAATTGAGGTAGCACGCTTTAGTTGGAGTAATTTTGTTTGTTTTACGCCATGGTTAATTAAAAGATACCCATCATTGTGGCCGCAAGTGTTGCTCCTGATTCCTGCCACTGCTGCTGTGGTCCGGCAGTCATTGGCATTGATTGGCAGTTGAACACGCAACAATTGTTGCATGTTTAGGCGTCGGCAGTGACGGTGAGACGACAACAACAGCTCAACGATGCAACAATGCAACAGAGGAACAGTGCAACAACACTGGGGCAACAAAGGAGCAAACATCGCAACAAAGCTGAAGACTTCGCTACTGGTAGTTGACTTTTGTCACATGTTTAGCGAGCTTTAATTGGCATCGAAATTTGTCCACTTCTATTAGAAGAACTGCCATTCTATTTGCTGTTAGAATGGGAAAGAAAAAAGGGAAGTGTCATCATATAGATAAAATATTTTTTTGTACTTGTTAAAAGTTATTAAAAGGAAATGCAGCTTCTTCTGATAACTGCTAATAATGATTAGTTTAGTTTGTTCTACATAATCGCATGCTCTCATGGTGCGCTTCGTTACTACGCACATTTTCGCAAAAAACAGCTAAGCAATTTATGTTGCATACTAGTCATAAATGTGCATCAATGTTTATAAACTTTTACATGATGAAGCAAAATAAATATTGGAACTGAAAGCTATTTATTTGAAAGTAGTGTAGACCACCCAACGCTGACTACGAATTTGTTGCACTTTGCAAAAAAGCGGTGGTGTCCCCGTGTTGACAGCTCAATTACTCACATGACAAAGCCTCTGCGTGGCTCCCTGCAATTATCGCGGCAATTATTTGCAATTAGAATTGAGTTAATTTACTTAAAAAAGGATTTTCTGCCGTGCCTGGGCATTTTTTGCCCTTTGACGCTGGCACTTTGGCACGTGTGTGTTTTGAGTTTTCCGCTTTTGTGCAATTTGCGTGCATAAATTTTTATTGTTTCAAAGGGACTACATAATTATTTTGTTATTTTCTCGTGGTTTTCACATCTG